GCCTAAAGAATATAAAAGTAGTAGTATATAAGCTATTAGAAATAGTAAAAGTATACTAAGAAAGTACTTTTACCTTAAGATAAAGAATATATATTATATAGCTTTAAGATATATAAATATTAAATTCTAGTTTTACTATTTATAGAAATATAATATAATTACTATTATCCTTATAAGTATCTACCTAATAGACTTCTATAGTAGGTATAATTATACCTATATCTTAGTAACTAGTATAAATATTAAAGAAAGGCCTAACTTAATAAACTATATATTTCTTTACCTACTATACCTATATAATAGAGTAGGTAAAGTATCTAAAGGCACTAGTATAGTAAAATAGGTAGTAGGATCTACTATAGTATCTATAAGGTATAATAGATAGATAGCTAGTAGTAATAGTAGTAATAGCTACTAGTAAAGTAGATAGTAAGTATATATAAGGTATATTCTAATTAAGGGTATTAAGAATAATAAGAGTAGGAGTAAGGGTAGTAGTAGGGAGTATATTAATAGTAATATATTATATAGAAAGTATCCTAATAACTATATAAAAAAAGAAGTACTACTACCCCCTTTTAAAGCTAAAATTAGGCTATAGATAGTAGGATATTATAGTAAGCTTTTTTAATATTATAGATAGGGTCCTATACCCTAGCTAAAATAAAAGCATTACCTCCGCTATGTCTATAACAGCCTATATATATAGGCTAGGCTGCCTATATAATAATAGGGGACCCCTATATATATAGCTTATACACCTTACCATAACACCCCTATTCCCGGATACCAGGATACTAGAAAACTATAGCTATATTATTATAATTACTTAAAACTCCTTATAATTACTAGTATTTCTTAATTTTTAATAATATAATTTTATTCTATATTTATTAGTTTCTAAGATTAGAAAGTAAAGAAATAGTATTTCTCTTTTTATTTATTTAAGATACTATTCTTAAAACTATATTCTTTAATATATTAGTCTTAAGGTAAATAGGTTTTCTAACCTTATAATTCTTTAATAATAATATACTTTAAAATACTTTTTTAAAATATTAAAATACCTTTTAACTAACCTTACCTATATTTACCTTTTTAGGTTTTTTCCTATTTACTATACTCTTTAAATAGCTTATAAATAAAAAGATTATAATAAAGTATTAGTTAATAAACTATTAATAAAAATTATAAAATCCTAGAAATACTTAGATTTCTTAAAATATCTTTATTTTAAGTTATTTTTAGATTATCTTTACTTTTATAAGGTTTATTTATATTCTATAAGGTTACTTAAGTATTAAAGTATTTTAATTATAGTATAATCTAGGATAGAGTAGGTAATAGTAATAGAATTACTACTACTTCCTTCTTACTAGCTTATTAGTAGCTTACCTTTATATAGTACCTTCCCTATATATAACCCTTTTATAATACCTTCCCTCCTAGCTATTATACTCCTAGCTACTATATTCTAATATATTCCTTTTTTTAAAAGTAAGAATCTTAAAAACTTAACTTCTATTTAATAGAATTTATACTTTAAGAGTTTAATATATAGCTTAACTATATATAATTTTCTTAAAACTATTTTTAAATATTCTATTTATTTTTCCTTAATTTATAAAAAGATTAGAATATTATTAAGATAGATAATATAAATATAATTTAATAATTTATTTACTATTTAGTAAATATAGCTTTAAAATATTATTAAAGTATTAGTTAATTTAAATAGTATTATTAAGAACTTATAATATTTATAATAATAATTAAATACTATTTTCTATTTATTTTCTTTTTTAATATAAATTTATTAATATATATTTTTAATATTAATTTTTAAAAAGTACTTAGCTTTAAAGATTTAATTTAAAATCTTAATAATTTAAGGTAATAAATATTAGTTCTTTTAAGTAACCTTATTTAAACCTTAATAATTAATATAAAATTAAAGGCTTTTATCTTTTTTAAAGATAAATAATATAAAAGATCTAATAAGGCTAACTAAAAAGTAAATCTATCTTTTCTTTAAAGCTTTATTAATAAATTCTTATAAGGTTTTAAGTTTCTTTAAAAATAAAAAGTAAATAAGATTATAAGGTAGTATTTACTTCTTTACTATATTAATAGTATAGTCTAAAGCCTTAAATTTAAAAATAATTCTAATCTTAAAGTTATTAAATATATTAAAGTAATCTTATAACTTAAATAGAATTATATAAAGTATTAACTTTAATTCCTTTTTATTTTCTAAAAGTAAGACTAGTTTTAATAAGTTAATTACTATAAAAACTATTATTATAATTTATAGTTATTTTTTAAACTATTAAGAATTATTTAATATAATCTATATTTATTAGGTTTTAAAGAATTATAATTATTAAACTAGATTAATAAAGATATTATAACTCTTTAATCTTAATATTCTAATTAAGAACTAATAATCCTCTTAATTTAGATTTTAAAATAAAGAATACTAAATTATTATAGTTTTAATAGTATTTTTAAAGTTTATTAAAGTAATTAATACTTTATATAGTTTACCTACTTAGAATTAAGCCCTTTTTATAGTCTTAATTCTTAATAGTTTTCTTTTTAATTTTTAAATATTAAACTATAAGGCTAGCTTAATATTAATTAGACTTATAATTATTTCTATATTTAGAATAACCTAGATAGTATTTATTTAATTTATTAAAGTACTTAATATATAGAAAGGTTTAGTAATTAGTTCCTTTTATATAGGTTTTTTCTATATTAGGTTTATTTTAAGTTCTAATTATAGCTTTTTTTTTAAACTTTATAATTTTAGTTTTAAAAGGTTAGTATATATTAAAATAATAAAAAAACCTTTTATATTATTTTAATTCCTTTTTTTAAGTCTACTTTTTTAATAATTTTATTCTTAAGGTATTTTAATATTATATACCTAGGTTTATTATATTTATAATAAATAATTTCTTTTTTTTTATAATAAAAGAAATCTTTTTTTTTAATAAAGTATATATAGCTTTTCTTAATAATCTAGCTTTAGTTTATTTTAATCCTATTAAGTATTCTTATAATTAGGTTTATATTTCTTATTAATATTTTTTTTTATTTTTAATTTAAAAGTCTTTATTTTAAAATATTACTTTCTTAATATTAAGTTATAACTAATATTACCTCTTTTCTAGTTTTTAAATTCTTATTTATATAATTAATAATCTTTCTTTATAGTTATTTTTATAATTTTATAAAATACTATTAAACTCTTTTAGCTTTTAAAAGTATTAATACTTTCTTTTTTAATAAATCTAAATATAAATAAAAATCTATAAAATATTAATTTAATCTTTATTTAACTAACTTAAAAGTAATAACTATATTTATTTTTAAATTAATAAAGTTTTTTAATAGGATTTTATTTTATTTTATAAAATAATCTTAATTCTTATTATACTCTTTTTACTTAATTAATAATAACTTATTTAGGTATTAATTCTATTTAGCTTAATAAGCTAAGTTTATATATTTTTAAATATAAATAATTTTTAAAAATTCTTTATAAAACCTTTTTAAATTAATTATAAAAGTTTATTATAAATTCTTTTTTATTAATTATAAATTTAAAAGTTATATTAATTTAATAATTTAATAAT